CGGTTGATTTGGCAACTTTTAGCGATTTTGCCAACTTTGCGTGCGAGTAGCTCGGATTTTCGCGATGCGCGAGCAAAATTTTGATACGCTGCTCTTCTTGCTTGGACGGCATTTTGACAACTGAAGAGTGAATTCCAAAATCAAAATAGGAGCAACATTCTACACACACACACCTTCAAAATGAGGGGTGTTCAGGTTTTTTAAATGCAAAATTGAAAGAAATACGTCAAGTTGATATTGACCAAATTTTGACCGTATCACCCTTTATCTAGTTAACAAATTTCTATGGTTTTGACAGATGGGATCGCTGCACATTTGAATCCGCCGTTATGGATTCTCGATCAAGAGTTAAGTTCAAGTTTCATGTCGGTTTGTCGGTGGGTAAACTGTCAAAGATCATTGCAAACAAAATCAACTTTAACCAAATCAAAACAAAAATACTAGCCCATCTTTTGGCTGATGGAACAAGCTTCTAAGAAAATTCTACACTGAAACAAATCGACATGTACCGTTTATTGGATCCATCTTATAACATAGCAATGTCAGGAGATTTATTCATTCTATGTGATGATTGATAGATTCCAATGGATTATCACTTAAAAACTATGACTGCGATATGGAATGATTTCTATCGTAATTTCACATACTTAGTACTTGATAATACTTTGCTTCGAACGTGGTTAGCGATAGGTAAGATGTATATGAATATTGTCTGATATATTTCATGGTGAAAAACTGTTGATATGTCACGGGTGGGAACAGGCATCTAGAAACTAATGGAAAATCATATAAGTTTGCACTATGAGCAAATCGAGTAAAATGTACCTGTTTTCGTGATGAATATTGCTCACTAAAAGATATATCATATAAGATAATCATGTATATTTTATTGGAGTTGCTTTTAACGATTTTTGACGTTTGTTGATATGTCGCGTGTAAACAGACATGTAGAAACTATTGGACTGTCATTTAACTTTGCAGTATAGGAAAACATGTATATCTCATTGGAATAGCTTCCTTTGATTTTTGAGGTTTGAATATTGTAAAAAGATCTATCCCAATCATTAAAAAGTCATATAGATTTGCCTTTTAAGAAATCCAACAGCAAACATTTGTTTTGGTATGTTTTTCTGGGATGAACATCGCTCCCAATAAAATACATCTTACATAATTGTTCTTTATAAATTATTGAAACAATTTTCAACTATGTTATCGTACACTCATTAGAATGATTAGTCGAACTAAATATTGCTAACAACAATGCTACTGTAATAAATAATCATTGTTTGTTATTGTTTCATAAGATAAGGGGTTCCGGAAAAGAATACTTTTTGATTGAAAAAAAAAATGATTCTACTGCAATATTTATTTGCTAAGATTCTAATTGTAAGCCTTCTACACGGCTAATTCAGATTCCAGCACTAGTACTCGAACTTCATGAACCAGTTCCATGAACTCATATAATGTAGTCGTTGTTTTATTGCACACAGGAGCATTAATAATGATTTGAATACACGACACCACTGAAACGGAGCATATATTGGTCAGTGCTATTTTTCTTCACTCTAGCAAAACGAGCATAACGTTGCTCTATATTCCATGTTGGGAGAGCTGTTATTACTTCATGCTAATTGAACGAGCTCAATATTGAAGTCAGCCGTGGCCCAATGGAATCGAGCGCAGACACGAAAAGCATCACAGCTCAACAGTTCTGGATCGAATCCCAAATCAGCTACAATAAAAAAAAACACAACTGTGAAAGCTCCCACTGCCTGGTGTTTATTTTTCGATTTATTTTTAGAAATCGATTAAATATATGTGTCAAAAGAATAAGTAAATTTCATGTGATTTTCACATAAACTTTACTTCGATTGATTTATGACACATATATTATATTGTGGTGAAAAGTAAAGCTTATGCTTATGGGTTTCAAATCCATTTCAGTTAATTATTATAATTTGACCGATTTTCATTTATCATATGGCGATCATATAAAAGTTTTCAAATTATCAGCATTGTCAATGTATCAGATATTCATATAGAATTTACCTGACACATTTTCAATCATATCATTTTCAATGGATTATCTTATAGCGCAAAATTATTAGACTTCCACATAACAGGAATATGTCAAATTGGTTCAGTGTATTACAGCGAACCACACGCTATTTCAAAACTACCCAAATTTGGGTAGAATCCACACAGATCGGTCAAAAATGAACCTACCCAAAAATGGGTAAACATGTATTTACCCAAATCTGGGTAAACGTACCTGCGACAGACACTGGGTAACGGTTACTCAGATGTTGACATTTGATAACATGGTAAACTTATTATTATTATTATTTAACTTTATTAAGAAGGCTTTCAGCCATGGGCTTTACATGGTAAACTTCACCCATTTTAATAGCAATTAGTATCAAACATAACCTACACCGACTAGCTCTTCTAGCCTGTTATTGATTATTGAGGTCATATTGTCGGAAAAATATATAACTACGCAATACGACATTGAAGCGAAAAGCGTCACCTCGAGTGTCACAGAATATCTCGATAACCTAGAATGAGGAGAATGTTCAAGGTCGAGAAACTAACAATATACTTACTAGGGTAGAGAACTACTTCGGCCTAATCGCCCATTTTGGGCCTATCGAGCAGAATACTTCAAATAAATCCATGATTTCAGAGTTAACAAGTCAAATATGCGTTTGTTACGATACTTGAGTAAATAAGCTACCGAACGAAGTCAATGAGAACGCGTGGTATAAAGGTTTGCATCCATTATTTCCAAAACAAAAGAAACGCTCCGACCGAATCAATTTTCATCTTCCTTCGATAGGCCGATGTGAATTCATTGGCGTTTCGATGGCGTTTCAATGCGTTAGGCCGAGTTTAGAATCCGTAGGCCGAGTTTGGTGTCAAGAAGCAGTGTTAGACTTTTGACAACATCTCAACAATTGGTTTCTCTTTTTCAAATCTTGCGGTACGTGCGGAAAGGTAAATAAATTTGAAAGCCATCAGTAATAATAATATTCTGTTTGGTGCTAAACTGCGCTAGATTAAAAAAGACTAAGTGCGGGTTGTGCTTAATAGGCCGGAAATGAGGTAGTTAACCCTAACTATATCTGCTAGTAGCATTCGCCATATTTTGAGCATTAAAACTTTCACTGGAAGCGCAACAATCTTCTTTTCATACCTGCGTCATTTTTTACTTTGGGAAAATTTCGATTAGAATTATTTACCCAAAATCTGGGTAGATTCTACTCATCAGAACAAAACAAGTTTAACCAGATTTTGACAACTCCTTAAGGCCCAAGCGCAATGTGGGCGGAAGCGGAACGGAAACGGAAAGTTTGACAGTTGTCACAAATGACATCAAAAAGCTATGTGTCCCACACATGAATTTTTGCAATGTGATCAACAAATGATATTTATGTGTCGGACACATACTTAATATGTGTACACATAAAAGCCATGTGTAACCACACATACTATTCATTTGACTGATAAATTTCATGTGTGCTTCTGGGTGGATTCTTTTTGTGTGTGGTCACATGAAAATCATGTGGAATTTCACATGAAAATTCACGAATAAAAATGTGTGGAATTATATTAGTGTATGTATGAGTGCTCATTGCAAGACAGGCTATATTACCAAGTACCACCAAGCCCGCTAACTATACCCGATAATCGCCCTTTTTGCTATATAAGGTAAATATAGGGTTTCCTAACTTTATATCAGCCGTACATCAGCCTTATACCCCGTTCACATTACAGTCTATATCACGTAATATAGGCTGTCTTGCAATGAGCATTCATACAAAGGATTTCCAGTGAAAACTAGATGTATGAGTGCTCATTGCAAGACACCGTATATCACGTGATATACGCTGTAATGTGAACGGGGTATTATATATCGCAAAAAGGGTGATTAGCGGGCTTGTTGGTTACTTGGGTTACTTGATATAAGCCATAGTCTGTACGGGGTATTAAATGCTTGTTCGATGAACAACTTGTGAGAGTTATGTCTGTTCGTCTGTGATATTACACTCAAAAAATTCCACAGGTCATCATCATGTGTCTAACACTTAATTTTGCACTTATTGTGAAACACATCCATTTCATGTGTGAATCTTTTGCTTTGAACCATACGTCAACACTATTGGTTCGAATTGTGATACACACTTGGAGTCTATGCACATGTGCCTCACTTGGTGATATCAATAGCTTTGCACGCCATAGTTCAATGTTCTACAATATTCTACTTTACTGACAAATATATAAACAAAGTTGACAGAGGGCAGAGCATAAACATGCCTTTTTTAAATGGGTCAGATTTGGGAATTGATCCTGTACTGTTGTGGGATGTACTGCTGCCGTTGTCTACGTATACGATCTCACTAGGCCACGGTTGTTCTCATATATGAGGCTGGTTGATAAGGATGAAGTCACAACTCATGTGTTCTATGTTTACCTTGCAGAACAAGCCATTCACATAGCATTGAAATGCAAAACACTTCAAATCCACCGGTTTTAAACAGTAGTGTGATTCATTGTGAAATACACTTGAATTGATAGAGAAAGATTATTCAAAGTTTGAAACACCAGAAATCAACGTGTAAAACACATTGAACCATGGTGAAATACACTTAAAATAAATGTAAAAGTGTTTAAACACTTCAATCAGACATGTGAGTGTAGGGTAGGTCCCTTTTTTTAACGAATTGTGTGAAATTTTACTCATTAATGTGCTTACGCTGGTTACCGTGTAGCGGACTTTACTCGCCACGTGCCTGCGCATTGACTTGCGTGCAGCCATGCGTATCAATAGATCAGTGCACGGTCCCTAACCTCACTTTTTGCTCCCTATCATTTTGCTTCTGAGTAAAAGAGATAGCAACGAATGGGAGCCAAAACAAACCACCCAAAACTGTCAAAACTTACGGGTGAGAGAAGAGTGCGGCAAATCTTCGTGAACTGATCAATAATCGCAGGTGGCCTTGCTGTTGCCGGTGAGGTCGTTGGACTCGCGTCGCTAGGCAACCCATCGATACTCAGACCCGTTCTTCGGTCACTTTTCAAACCTCTTCACCGCAGTGAAAAGTGTGGACACTGGCCGCCCGCCACCAGTAAGCAACCGGTTACTTTTCTCGCAACCGTCATCGTTCCTAGAATTGCAGCTCCCGTTCTCGATCGAAAAATATGGCTCCTGGGACCGAAGACAAATCCGATCAGCTGATCGCGGAAAACAGCAGCCCGAGAAGGGATTCAGCCGAGCAGCAGTCGGGTGAGATTTGATTTTTCTCCGATTAAAGTGAACTGCGAATGGGAAAGAAATTTTTTTCATTTTCAGCAGAAGTCGACGGCGCAGGAAAAGGAGGACAAGCAGCGGCGCATTGTCAGATAAAGTGTGCTAATTGTGATGGAATTTTTTCGCCGGTCAACTTCGACGAGCATGTGTGCGAGTACGATGAGCGGAAGAAACGAATCGAACCGGGAAACGTGCTGGACGGTCATCCGTGCTTCCGGCAGATCGAGCAGAATATGGAACAGTGGAAGAAGTTGACCAAGAAGAAGAGCCGCGTCACGGGTGGTGATGCGGATGAGACGAAGGACAAGAAGAAAAGTAAGGGTCTCATTGAGAAGGAAAGGCATCGATGCGGGCATTGCGAGCGAATGTTTGTGCATGTGTCTGGGTTGGAGAAGCATCGGGCGAAAGTACACCCGGAGATGGTTGGTCAGAAGGAAAAGGAGAAGGACAAGGACCCAACGGAGTCGTTCAAGGTATGCCTGAAATGTGCTAAATGTGGGATGATTTTCGGTTCGTTGGACAAAATGATGGAACACTTGGAGATGGTCGATTGGGAGTGGGAATTGGAACAGGAAGATGGCAGCTACATGGAAAACGGGAAGGTGTGCTTGCGCAAGGCATTCCGGATCGTCATTTTGACGTCAGTTTACCAGTGCGAATTTTGCGATAAGCATTTCTCGGATTTTCCCTCGCTGTATCAGCATGAATCGCTGCATGATCCAATTTCCGGGTACGAGTGCACCCTGTGTGAGATTCGGATCCCGTGCGTGAAGGATATGCTGTTCCATAGGTTGAACGAGTGTGTTTTTCGGGATGCGTGGAATGATGAATTTAGGAACCTGCCGAAGTATTTTGCCTGCAACGTGTGTGACGATCAATTTGAGAGCTTGGGAGCGCTCTACGAGCATCGCTACGGAAACTACCACCTGTTTCCACGGCCCTCGAAAATGGAGGAAAATGAGTCGTGTGATCAGTTGAAAGTGGGATGTGAGGTTTGCGGAACAAGCTTCGATAATGCAGACTCGATAATCTCTCACTACACGGATGTTCACTGCAAGAAGAAACAAAGCAATTTTGGGATTCGTCGTCAGCCTACCGAAAAACGTGACTCGACGACGACCACTACGAGTCCACCATGTTGTTCAACGAGACCGTACTTGTGCGAGCTTTGCGGTAAAACCTACACCCAGTCCAGCCACCTATGGCAACATCTGCGCTTCCATAATGGTATTCGTCCGTTTACATGCCCAGAAGCCGGTTGCAATCGTAGTTTCACTATTCGCCCAGATCTTAAAGATCACATTCGGAAGTGCCACACCGGCGAGCGTCCGTATCATTGCACCCTTTGCGACAAGCGTTTCCTGACCGGATCGGTGTACTACCAGCATCGGCTTATTCATCGTGGCGAACGCCGTTATGGCTGCGAAGAGTGCGGTAAGCGCTTCTATCGAGCAGATGCACTGAAGAACCATCAAAGAATCCACTCCGGTAAATAGTTTCAGCTTTTTAACCAAATTGTCCTTTAAAAAGTTCATCGATTATTTCTGATTCAATTAGGTGAGAAACCATTTGCCTGTCACCACTGCCCGAAGCAGTTTCGGCAGCGTGGCGATCGTGAGAAACATATACGGGTAAAGCATTCCGGTCCTTCCGAGAAACAAGAATCATCGTTGGCCTACCAAGGCACACCGCTGACCAGTCGTACCAGGTCAAAAAGACAGCAGCAGCAGCGCAGGGGTGGCCCCAAGAGATTGTCTCAGCAAGTGGAACCCCCGGAGGAACCTGCCGTCGTGGAACAGGTTATAGATGGATCACAAGTGATTTACGTCGGTGAAGTGTCCCTGCCGGCTAGTTTGTTTCAACCAATTATGAACGATATTGATATGTTATGAAGTTTTCTTTCGCGCATGCTTAATTATTGCACATTTTTTTTTTTTGGTGTTTTGTTTCCGTTTTCGATTTTATTAGGGTAGGAAATTTCCAGAAAATTGTGGTCTGAATTTCAATTCTTGACAACGCAGAAATTTAATATATTGTACCTACGCTATGAATTCTTAATATATTCTAGATTAACAAACTACGAGTAGTTTAATTTGATCCATTTGATTTCCTACAAATTTTCATGTACTAAATCGATTTTTTTTTTCTTTTCTCTTCGCAGGAAGTGCCGGACGCATACGACTACAGCTACAGTGGGAACCATTCCTATCACCAGCAGCACCCACCGCCCGACGGGAGCAGCGGAAACTCCTGTAGCGATGCCGTGATGATCAAGATCGATGTTCCTCCACCGATGCCTAACGAGCAACGTTTTCCGAAGGAAATTTGGAAAACGTTTCTAGCACTGATGATGCTGGCGTTCAACTTCATTTTGGCAACGGTTTCGTTGGCAATGGTACACGATCGGGTGCCGAACCGGGACACCTATGGACCGCTGCCCGATGTGGTGCTGGACAACATGCGGCCGTTGGAGTGGGCACTGGACGTCAGTGAAGTGCTCATTATGGTGGTGGTGAACTCGTGCGTCCTGCTGATCACCTTTCATAAACATCGGTAAGATTTTTGCTTGCTTTTTTATGCAAGAAAATATTGAATATTATGAAGATTCTATTCACAATTCCATAATACGTGAACATTACAGCATGTGGTTGCTGATTATTCAACTGTTCTACTGGCTGTAGACACAAGTCTTGGTGATTATAAAAACTGATCTAGAAAAGCTAAATTGATCATAGATCAAAACAATTTCGGCCATTTTTTTGTATTCACTTCTATTCTCTATTCCGTACGATGGATTTCCCATACAATTTTTTTTTTGTACGGGATATTCGTTTCGAACGGAATACAAAATAGGATTGATTGACATGTTGTAAAATCAGTATTATAATCTATTGCAGCTGGAAATTAATTCACAACACCTGGTTCCTTGTTCTCAAAAATCGACCATCCGAGTTCGAAAACCGCTCTCACCAATCTGTATTATAAATTGCGCCTCCATTTCAGGTTCATAGTGATGCGAAGGATATTCTTGGTGATGGCACTGCTCTACTTCATGCGGTCAATCACCATGTACGTGACGGTACTACCAATTTCCAGTACCTCGTACTACTGTAGCCCCAAGTCGAACTCTACGACACCGTTGGAGATCATGAAACGTGCCTTCCAGCTAATTTCCGGCTTCGGGCTGTCGATCAATGGCAAGCACATCTACTGCGGCGACTACATCTATAGTGGCCACACGGTGACGCTGGTGATGGGCTACCTGATTATCGCCGAATGTAAGTCTTCAACGAAGTAATCTTTTTGGAAACGGGGTAACTAACACTGCTTTTTTTTACGTTGCACTTGTAGACTCACCAAAGAAGTTCTGGATTATCCATTGGCTCGCGTGGTGTGCCAGTTTGGCTGGCGTTTCGTTTGTGTTGCTTGCCCACGGTCACTACACCGTCGACGTGCTGATTGCATACTACGTGACAACGAGACTGTTCTGGACGTACCACACTCTGGCGAACAATAGTCTTCTGCTTAAGGTAGGTCATTCGCTTGGAGCTAGTTTCAGTCGGCTAATCAAATTCCCCCCCCCCCCCTCTCAACAGCAAAACGGTCACAACTACATTGGCCGCGAGTGGTGGTTCTTCATCTTCCGTTACTTTGAAAGGAACGTTCGCGGACCGGTACCGCTGCAGTATGACTGTCCATTTCCGATTCCTTGGACGAAAAAAGCGCAAAAACTGCCCAACCGTGAAAGCTGATGAGCATAAGGAAGAACCACTCCTAAAGCAGACGCAAGCGGAGCAGATATCGCACAGGACAACGTGGCTCAGCGGAAGCCAAAGCAATAGAAAACATCCGTTTTAGCTGTTAGTAGTTTGTAAAGTTAGGAAGCTGTGCTGTCACAGTAGAAACATTTACCCGGCATCGACAACAAACGGAAGCAGCAAATCCAAAACGCATAAGACTTGATTATGATCCTATTTTTCTAGGAGCTAGTAAGTGTACCGAATCGTTTTAAGTTGTAAAAATCTTTACCCAAATTGTTCCATTGAATGAAAAACTCGTGTTGATGTTTTTATGTGAAACCAGTTTGTGAATAACAAACCACCGCTTATTGGAAAGCAACCGATTTTTGGTGTAGTTTCTAAGTGTTGTAAGTTAACATAGCTTTTATAGCGAATCAAACAAAAAATGAGATACCTACAAAACCTAAACGGCAGCCGACGGCTACTTCTAGTCAGCTGTGTCAATGATAGAGTGGAACATGAAGCCAATCTAATGTAGAAGCGAATGCTACAGACATTTTAGACATAACAGAATATTACACCTAAGCAGAAAAAACATGAAATTCTAAGCTGCCTTCTTATCATATTATAGGAAACCCCGTTTTAGAGAGAAATTGTATCGAAAACCATGTGATAATCATTAGAGACAATTCAATTTTACTGTAGTTTATTTATAGGACGATAGCAAATGAACAGAAGCATCTAATCGATATTTTCAATTCCTCGGTCATACAACGGAAACAGCAGAAATCTTAGCACAGATCTTAATTCGAAGAAAAATTATACCAACCAACCTACACAACAGTCATTAATGCGTTGTTCTATGGTGTATCTCACGGGTCTATTTCTTCACCTCCACTTAACATCCACATTCTCGTTTACGTTGGAACCGTATTTTTCATACAAAAAAAAAATTGTATGGAATATAAGGTTCGAACGTTAAACGAGATAATTTTAGTGTAAACCTGTTGAAGATATTGGTCCTAAGTAAGCCTTATCTTGAAACTTCAAGAGCACATTATTTGTCAGCTCCCACAAAACATTCGATAATGAAATTGCAACTACCTGTTTGCTGCGCTGTTTCATGATTGTATGTTTTGTTGAAGCTGACATGCGTGCTCTTGAGGTTTCAAGATACGGCTTCCTCAGCGATTCACCTTAAGCAACTGCGTGTAAAAAATTATTCTAACGAGAGCAATCGAATCAATCAGAACCTGTTTTTGCTGGTCCAAAATTTCATCAGTGTGCCTTGAATATCAATCTTTTCCAAACAAGTAGAAATTAATAAATTTAAATAACAACAGTTGTCTGGTGTCTTTATTTGATATTGTGAAAAGTTGAGAAACAATGACCATGTACCCAAAGCTGTGCTTAGGGACCTCACTGTGCAAGTTGTTTCGACTTGCGAAATGAGGCCCCATGAATACCGTTCGGCCCCCCGGTGTAGTAGTTAACATCCATATCTCTCACGCCAAAGACACGAGTTCAAATCTCATTCCAGGACAAGGCAAGCCGACCAATGCATTAGTTGCTTGGCCCTTATTGGGTGTGTTACTTCACGGTGAATACGAAGTGAAGTGACAACTTTTCACTCACGGTGAAGTGATTCCCATTTCCCATTTCAAAGGGTCCTATCTGCTTTGAACGATTTTCTTCATCGACTGTCTCTTTTGATATAACCACGGCTATGTAAACAGACTTCGTACACTCTAAAAATTCCACACGTTTGATCGAAGTGTTTAAACACTTGATTTTTTAAAAGCACAATCACATTTCAAGAGCCACATGTGAAAATGGCATACAAGCTTTTTGTAAACAAACCTTTGTAAGCCTTGTTCTCGCCAACCGAGGGTCACCCACGCAAAGCAACAACATCATCGGGAAGGGGAAAGTTTACCCTACCCGGTGATGTTGATGGTTTGCGTGGGTGTCATGTAGGTGGCGAGAAAAGGGCATAAAAAGGCTTGTTTACTAAAAGCTTGTATGCCCTTTTCACATGTTGTTCTTGATTTACATTAAGTGTATTTCACCTTGGTTCAATGTGTTATACACGTTAATTTCTAGTGTTTCAAACTTTGAAATGTTGAAAATCTTTCACTATCTATTCAAGTGTATTGCACATTGAATCACACTACTGTTCAAAACAGATGGATTTAAAGTGTTTTGCATTTCAATGCGTTGTGAATTGCTTGCTCAGAAAGGTAAACATCGAAAACAAGAGTTGTGACTTTATCCTATCAACCCGCCTCGGTTGTGCTCATATCAAGAGCCACATGTGAAAAGGGCATACAAGCTTTTTGTAAACAAACCTTTGTTAGCCTTGTTCTCGCCAACCGAGGGTCACCCACGCAAAGCAATAACGTGGGGAAAGTTTACCCTACCCGGTGATGTTGATGGTTTGCGTGGGTGTCATGTAGGTGGCGAGAAAAGGGTATAAAAAGGCTTGTTTACAAAAAGCTTGTATGCCCTTTTCACATGTTGTTCTTGATATGAGCACAACCGTGGCACAGTGGGATCGAACGAAGACTCCGGCAGCAGCACACCCCAACAGTCCATGATCGAATCCCAAATCAGACCAATTAAAAAGATATGTGAAAGCTCTGGCCTCTGGCAATTTTGTTTATATATTTGTCGATTCATTTTTAGAGTCGAAGTCGATAAAGTAGAATATTGTAGAATATTGAACTATGATGTGCAAAGCTATTGATATCACCATATGAGCCACATAGAATCCAAGTGTGTCACAATTGGGTTCTTTAAGGGTATTGAGGTAAATGCATATTCGTAATCTGCATTAAAAATGGAGCCCAAACCCAAAATTTCATCAATTTTGGTACACTGGAACTATTTTAAATAAGAACGATTACATATGCAAAAATCACCTTATTAGCGCCCCTCGGTGTCACTTTGTATGGGAGCGAGCTGTCATTTTGTCAGTTTAGTGTCAAACAGTGAAGTTATTATTTTGGTTTAAATCTTGATTTAAAAATCGAGATGAAAGTGTGTGGGTTCGAAAAAAATATCGCTGTGCTCAGAAAAAGAAGCTCTTTCAGATGATATTTAAAAACCAATATATTTTTCAAAATTAAAGAACCCAATTCAAATCCATAGTGTTCAGGCATGATTCATAGCACAAGATTCACACATTAAAGGGATGTGTATCACAATAAGCGCAAAATAAGTGTGAGACACATGATGTTGACGTGTAGAATTTTTTGAGTGTACTATTTTGCCATTTAGCAGCGTTGGCAGATTGTTTTAATAATTATCGGTATCAAAGGTATTAAAAAATCGGTATTTACTATTTATTTAATTTTATATTTTTGCCGTTTTTGAAAGCGAAAATTTTAACGATGCTGACGACTGGGATTCGAGGGGAATTGCTTTGTTTGACGGCTTTCTCAGTCTTAAAACCACAGACAAACACACGTAACTCTTCATTGTGTATCTTCGTTCACGCATTTAACGGTTGATTTGAATATTACAAGTTCCGCGAACTACTCGCCGCAGCGCTGGCATCGGATCACTTTGACGTTTCTATACATTCTATAGAACTTTTATGCAATATTGTTTGCGAGTTAACGAGCAAGCTTGTTTTACGCGAGAAGCCCAAGAGATGTCGTTACTGAGGTCCTATGTTTTGAGATACTATGTTTTCAAGAAAAACTTTTTCAAAGAGTTACGTCTGTTTGTCTGTGTTAAAACACTCTTTAATTTTTTTAATTTAATTTTTTTAATTATCGTTGTCCTCAAGTGGTGATCAAAATTGTGACCAAATAGTGTTTTTTCAATGAAATATCATTAAATGAAACCAAAATATGGAAAATCAGTCACAATAACGACTAAACTATTGACAATAACGACAAACAATATTTTCCCTTGAAAAAAGCCACAATCTATGGCCAAAATTTCGGGCAGATTGCATCGTAGTCATTGCATTGTTTTAAGACTGAGAAAGCCATTGATCGAATCAAAATTTTAGCTTTTGAACTATGATCGGAAAATTCCGGAAGAAAACTCCGGGGAATGTTTGAATTAGCTTCTGAATGGAGCTGAAAAACATCCAGAGAAGACGAAAGAAGCTCTCCTGGATGAAGTTCGAGAAAAGCTAGAAAAACCTCCGGGAAACTTCCAAGACACGAATTGATAAACTTGTGGCGAAAATTTAAATAAACTATCGGAAAAAAATCGGGTGTCACATCCAAAGGAAGCCAGAAAAGTTTCGGAAACCAGAAGTAGCCATTTCTAGGGAAAGCCAGAAGAAGCTCGGAAGAACCTTCCAATAGAAGTCGAACAAAACAACCTTTGACTTATGGTCAAACTTCCAGAAGAAGACGAAAGAAATTTATGGGAGAATTAATTGAACTTCCTTGAGAAAACGAAATAAACTTCCTGGAGACGCTGGCAGAAACTTCTTAAGGTAGATTGGAAAAAAAAACATCTGTAGAAAGTCGGAAGCCAGAGCGCTTACGGAACAGTCGAAAGAAACAAGGACATAATTCCGGAAGAAAGAGATTCCTGAGGAATGTTCTAATGATCCAGAAAATTTTCCTGATATTCAAAAAACATCCCTGAAGACTCCGAAATTTCCCTGAAGTTTTCGGAACATTCTTGAAATGCATTTAGGAATATTCCATAATTCCTCGAAATTCCTTAAAAGTTCTTGTAATTTTCCTAAAATTAGGGGCTGTTTTGGAGTTCTCTGGTCATCCTCGAAGCGCTCGGAACTTCCCTGATTATAATAAGACTACCGGAATATCTCTAATCATCTTAGAAGGTCTCTGGTTTCTTGAAGATTACAAAATCTCTTAAGTTCTCTCACAATTTTCTTGAATTTATTGTAACATCATCATTGAAGTTCTCTGATCGAGCAATTAATTATTTTATTTATCCATTCCCGGAGAGAAAATTCCATTACTTGTTGATATATTTAATTGTATACTTGTAAATACTCATTTAATAATCAGATTCGGAATATGAGTGATGGGGGAGCTTATTGTGTTCGTGAGTCCGCCGTTTAGGCTGGATTTATTGATTTAAATCTTTAAGTAGATTCTCAGCTCTTCAATTATGGAATTTTTTTAGAATAATACCATTACACTTTTTCAGCCTTCGTTCACATCATTGTAATGTATGATAACAAGTGCATGAAAACTGTTAACTGTCCAAATAACCTCGATTTTCCTGACTATTGATTCATTATTAAAGTTTACCAATATTTATAAAAGCATTCCATATTGTGTTTAAAGATTCCATAGTGCATAATAAAGATTTTGTTTCAATTCCAATAAAATATCTAATAAATCAGTTAAATGTACGGAGGTTAACTAAAATCGAGCTTATTTGTATTTTGTAGCACCGTAAAACGAGGTATCTTTGATAATGTGGTTAACTTTGATAGTATAATATAAAGAATGATTTACTCGCTGTGCGTTTTCCAAATAAGAAACATTGATTCCATATTGTAGCTTATACCCCGTACAGACTATGGCTTATATCATGTAATATAGGCTGTCTTGCAATGAGCACTCATACATCTAGTTTTCACTGCAAATCCTATGTATGAGTGCTCATTGCAAGTCAGCATATATTACATGATATAAGCCATAGTCTGTCCAGGGTATTAGGGTATTTCCGTTGATACAAAAATATTGAAAAACCATTTTCGTGTTTTTCGCGCTTTTGAAAAAGCACGCAAACCATCACTTATGAAATGTTTTTCCGATGCAGCCATCACAAATTCAATGTTGAATTATTATTGCTTTTAAAGTTTTCTGATTATATACTCATTCAAAGTTTCATATTTAAAGAACTAAATTGTTTGAGTTTCACTCATTTTTTTTTCTACATTCATCGAGCATTATCAAAGTAACCCCAAATCAAAATGCAGAAGTTAGGTCACAAAACTAAAAAAATAGTGCAAATGCTTTAATTTTCGTTCAACATATTACTAACGAATTAACTCTTGGATCCTCAGTACTTGTTTTAAAAATATAAAATTTGAAAAACATTCATTGTTTTACGGTACTTGTTTATTTTACATTCATTATATTTTATATATTGCATGACTAGTAAATTATTTTTATTTCACATATTTAAAATCTCATTATATCATTGTAACTATAATTTTCATTTACAGAAGGTGTATCAAATATCAAATCATTGTTATTTACATTTATTTTATAATAATATAATATGATATCTATGGTTTTCAGAACTTGGATTACCCAGAGAATAAATTGAATATGGTTAAATTGTTTTACCTTTGCAGAGTTTTGCTATTTCAAGAATTAATCATTGATGCTTATTTTTATAACTCTTGTATGCTCAAACAACCTCGATTATTTAGCAAATTGATTCTTTACTTAAATTGTGAATTCATTAAATAGGCAAAGTTGAGTTCAATCATACCATGCAATTAAAATATTCATTTTAATTTGAGTGACTAAAATCGAGGTTTTCTGTATTTTCCAGTGGCGTTTCCTAACCTCGATCTACCTGTGCACCAACTCTCAAAACATAAATAATAATCAATATATTGCTTGCAATAGATAGATATCGAGTAAACTAGAAGATTGAGTGTATTTTCAACCGATTCGAATATGAATATGGCATCAAATCTGGTTTTGAAAGTTGGTGCACAGGTAAATAGTGAGGTTACGGGACGCCACTGGTATTTTGTTATATTTTCTGTGTTTTAAGGAAATACCTGCATACATACATACATTTTGCATTTCACTACATATATTATATAAATTATACATTGCATGATATACTATTACCTTTAGCTTAATATTTCAGTTTACCCAAGCAAGTCATCGAAATTAATATGAAGCTGATGAACCAGAAACATTAAATAATATTATATGTTTATAATTTTTAAGCAGGTTATTTCTCGTCATGTTAGTTATTCATCACAATTTTTAGCATTATTGTTAATATCATTCGAGCAAAATATATTTAATTGCTAAATATATCCTATACATTTCAGTGTTGCATCCACCTGTTGTGAGCTGAGGAGGTGTAGAGCTGCATCTTATTATATGTAAAATACTTCTTAATTGCAGTAGCAACTATATTATCCATATAAATGTATTTCATTATGTCACATTTTAATGTTCTGATATATTTCATTTCTCCATTGCATATAATTTCATTATGTATATAAATAAATACTGGGTTGGGAGGGAGCATCAGGGTATCATTCAAACTGAAACTGGACGATGGTATGATTGACAGCCGGAGTCTAGGAGGGAATAAACACTATCATTGTGTTTATCCTACCGATTCGATTGTGGTGGTGTGAATTCTACTCCAACAGTTTCAGGGCGATTGACGCGCCCTTCTTAACAAACCATCCAGTAGGAAGCTTAATAAGTATTGCGAATTGTGTTATTCGATTTGTTGGAGCGTATCGTTGGAAGGAGATTCTTAAATTCCCGTGGATTTCGCGTAAGTGTCTCTGCTTACGGGTCCACCCCTCCGTTTTTGGCCCTTCATACAGCGATATAGTGAATTCAGATTGGTAGCTCAAATTGATCCTGCTATTAAGTGGAGCTGCATACAAGACAAGTCTTGAAGGGATGGTGGCTACCTTACATACATACATACATACATACATCAGCATTGAAGTTCTCTGATCTTCCCGATTTTTTTTTAAAGTTATCGACACTGCCATTAAAAAGCATACAAATTCCCATAAAATGTTCCCACAATGATCTAATGTTCATGTAACTTCCCTGACGTTTCCTAAATTTGCATTGACATTGCTGAAGGTTTCGGAAATTGCCTGAGTTTCTCGGAACTCCTTTATAATTTCAGCAATTTCATTGAAATTAATTGGTCTGTCCTGATGCTCTCAGAGCTTCACTAAAGTTCCAGAAAACCATTAAATTTCCCTGAAGTTCTTTGGACTTGTGTAGCTTCCAAAATGTTTATGATGTTTCCTTAAGTTCACTGGAGTTCGCTGGACTTTTCTGATATTTCCGGGTTTTCAAATTTTAACAGAATTTAATGAAACCGTCTTTAATTTATCAAAACTTACACAAAAGTCTGGACTTTTCTGAAGTTTCAGAACTTCTTAAATGTGCCTGCAGCTAGTGTGGATCCGCAATAAAAATCTGCTCCGGGAAAGTTAAAAAAATTAAAGGGTTGTGTCCTAGACACGACCGTAGTATGACGTAGAACCTATCTATCTATCTCTATCTATGATGCATGATATATGCATTTAGGTTAACATCCGACGTCCCTAGGGAGCTCTTTTTTTTACTTATTTTGCAGAAAAAATACATCCGAAGTCCCTCCTTTTTTACATATTCTGCACTAAACATATGTTTTAAGCCCCGCAACTGACAGGATTTCCCGCCGTTTTATTATGATTGGAGGTGGGGCAGAACGTTTTTTTTTGTGCAGAATATGGAAAAAAGGATGGACTTTGGATGTTAATATAATTTCATATGTAGAGGTACATATATAGGTTACTGTTTTTACTAATAATTGTGGTTTGTTTAAAATTTATTTCCCGGAAAAAGTGATCGTCAAAGTCCATGTCTTTTTCGGGTTATTGTTGGGGTGGGGGGTTTGTTGTGAAGGGGGGAGGGGGTTTACATACATTGCTTTTCCTCATTTCTCATTGTGTCGCATTCCTCATTGTGATCACGCCGTTATTCACCTTTAGCCGCTGACTTAGTCCTGCTTGCTGCAGGACCTAGTGCCACGCCGTCCGAAGCGGTAATGAGCAGAGGCAGGAGAGCAGCGCTGATTTATATCTTTTCAGGTTCAAGTAGAATGATGTGCAACCAAGTGGTATTCGTTTATGATGACTGGGTTTGGGAAAAAGGCTTATTTCATGAAAACAGTGATAAAATTATCATTTGTACATTTTCAAAAGTTTAATTACAGAAAAATGGAAAAATATTTATTTAAGTAGTTTCGTAATGTAATATCATAGAGGTAACTCTAAGACAAGAAAGTCCCGAAAGAACGTGCTCAACTTTTTGGCTCATCTCTGGTACTCCCTTCGGTCCCAAGCTAATCGATTCACCCCTCGAAACATGGGAAAATCCACTAACCCCTCATTTTATCTGTCAAACTTTCATAGCGAATCAAAACAAACATTGTGTAGTAGTAGAATTTCGGCTAGAATGGGGTACGTTAATCGTTTGCTTGGGACCAATAGGCTAGTGAAGTAGTGAGCCAATTTAAAATCGTTAGTTTCGTATTGATTGTTGGTAATATCCTATCGATTGGCGTATTTGGATTTTAATTTCATCTATAAATGACAAAGTTACAAACGTTCAAAACCTAACACTCCTTCACCACACATATTTTTTGATTTGCACCACAGTATAGTCGACAAAGACGTAGTTCTACGTCAAAGCTGGCGGGAGAAGATGAAAGAATCATTCGAGCGAAGGCTGAAGAAGCTTCCAAGGTAAGGTTTAAGAAAATTCCAGGAAAAGTTGGATGAAACTTCAGGAAGTTTAAAAATGAATAAAAACTCTCGGAAGTTAAATAATGTTTCAAATATATTTCTCGATTGATGGGTAGTCAATTGGGTTCTTTAAGGGTATTGAGGGAAATGCATATTCTTTGGTACACTGGAACTATTTTAAATAAGTACGATTACATTTGCAAAAATCACCTTATTAGCGCCCCTCGGTGTCACTTTGTATGGGAGCGAGCTGTCAGTTTGTTAGTTTAGTGTCAAACAGTGAAGTTATTTTGCTTTAAATCTTGATTTAAAAATCGAGATGAAAGTGTGTGGGTTCGAAAAAAATATCGCTGTGCTCCAAAAACGAAGCTCTTTCAGATGATGTATAAAAAACGATACATTTTTCAAAATTAAAGAACCCAATTGAGGAAATGCAAACATTAGTCGAAAGATATGGCATCTTAAGAGATGATTGTTTAGAATTTTGAAGGCTCAAAAATATGAAGTATTCAAAAAGATACAAGTCTCTTACAAAAATTTTCTCCGAAATTCGGGCACGGGCAGGCAATAATTATTTTGATTTTCTAGTGCAAATTGTAAACAAACCCGGTCGCTGTCCGATACAAAAATGCGAGGGGTTTCTACCAACGTTAATTACCGGTCAGTGCCAGTCAGATCAAAGATGAATACTAAGATGAAACTGTCGGAAGAAAAACTTTCAATTTTAGTGTCCTCTTTCACGGTCCCTTTTATCCAATGAATACCCCCAGTATGCAAGGTAATTTTGTGGTTTTGCTGCCCCCTCGGTAGAGATAAAATTTTGCGCGCTTTTTGTCAAAACAATCACACCAAAATCAGAGATGTCCCATTTTTTAATAATTACTCGATTAACAACTAATCGATTATTTTTTGTTCGCTGTGCTGTCATTTTTCCACCAATGAGAGTGCAAAACTTGTTTGAAACAATCGGTGATGATCCTCTGCAGAAGTTAATGATTATATCGACATGATATAACCGATTACAAATATTTTACTGTTCGGTTCGTGAATCGATTAATCGATTATTCGAATGAAAATCGGCCATCATTTCAAATATAAGTACCGTACATAAATAATGATACAATTTGAAAGGGACCGGGGCTAATCACAAATTACGCCTCCACGGTAACTGAAATAAACACGAGTGTTCACCGGTTGGTCAGGTTACCGAAAATTACTCTGATTACTTTGAAATTACTTTTATTACTCTCGATTACCGAAATTACTACGATTACTTGAATAATTTTAGGAATTACTTTGGAATTACTAAATTATTCAACGCAGAGAAAATATTTTTGAACATAGCAATATTCAGTATAGTTTCAACAAAAAAGTTGCATTATCTCCCGTCTTATAAAGCAATATCTTTGGTTCAACAATAATCATGCTTTCGTTTCAACAATATTTATTGTTGAATTCAAAAGTGGGATGACCAGCCACGTAACAATAATTTTTTTAAAAGCAAAAATGTTTTTTTGAGAAACAACAATATCTGGTGTTTAAAAGGAACAGAGCTAATTTTTGGACCTAAAATGCTTTTTTTCTTGGTTTAAATAAAAATTTCTTTAGCTCAAAAAATGAATATGGTTGCTTTTATAATTCGTGGTATTTTCTTGTTTTATTTTTTAAATAAGTGAGAAATTGTTTTGATGCATATATTATGTCATAATTGCTTCAGCTCACAAGCTCTATCCAGAAGTTCCGACGATGACAGCTTACCCGAAAAAAAATAACAACAAAAATACATTAAAAAACAATGTAACAATAAGACGAAAATTATTGTCTTAACAATGATTTATATTGTTACGTCTACAATAAATTTACCATGATTTATGTTGTACAAAACAATAAATTTCATGGTAAATGGAAAATTTACAATAAAAAAGGGGGGTTGTTAAGTATCTTAACAATGAAATTTTCGTGATTTTCCCATATAATTTTTTTTCAATAACATTATATATTATTGTTATTTTACTGTTGGTTGGCGAATTTATTGATTAAAAAAAATAACAGTGTACTTTAGAGTGTATGTGTTGGCTTGACAGATCTACTTTATCGACTTTAAAAATAAATCGAAAAAATAAAACATTGCCCCGGGAAGGGAAGGGGGTGGTATGTCTGTTACGGGTGGTCCTTTTTTTACTGGTTATGGATCGAGATTCGATCCGGAACTTGTGAGAAATGCAGGCCAACTCCCCTGCGCTCGATATCCCTAGGTCACGTCTCCTTGGTGGTTGAGCGTCGTTGATAAGTTAATGCATTCGACTGGAGAGAATCGCCCATGAAATATGCTTCCACCTGAGAGTTCTTTCCTGACATCTTCAAGTGGTGGAATTTTTTATTATTATTGTATGATTATTGACTGCACGGAAAAGGTCTCCATTAAGCTTTAGAGAGGGTCTAGGAAGAGCTGCCAGGTGGTTTTATAAAAAATCTGTATCCACTCTATTAAAAAATCTGTATTTTCTGTATTGACGATTTTTTTCTTAATTAATCATGTTTTGTTGTTTTACAAATACAGTGCATACAAAATAACCATAAAAAGTGCTTAACCACCTATTCGGGCTATCGTACTAACCATACGGGATATAATCGCGCCATTTGTGATATCGTCCGTACTTATTTATAAGAGTGATATGAAGCCGTTTGAAAATGTATGGAGATTTTAGTTTCTATTCATTATCTTCCTGATAAGCAGTTTTAAATGCAAAAAAGTGCACGAGTTCATTACTATTTGATATTTTTAATATAGATGAATACAATTAATTACATCATTTGTGTGGTAGTTACACCGAAAAGTCGAGAGATGTCGCCCCGCCAGTGCTGGTAAAATCATTTTTGCAATATGGAGAATATCAGAAAATCCGCAATTTCTTACGAAATACATTTTCAATGCAAGTAAAATGTTTACGAGTACTTGTATTTGTAACATTTTAATGTGCTCGGGCACTTTTCTTGTATTTAACATACATGCTTATATTGGAAATATTCAATTAATACTGTAAATCCCCATACAATCTCAAATCGTTTACTACCAGCTCCATATGCATCCGAAAGCGGTTGGTCCTCTGGTTGTGAATGCTGTCAAAAACACCATAACATGATTAATTGTCGATGGAAATTTGATAGGTTCCCGAGCAGAGGGTGAGAACAAAATTAAAACAAGAATTATGTTGTTTTCATTATTCCTGATAACTCAAATTGATTTCATTTTGATGGAGTTGATGGCCAACAGAAAAAAAAAATGAGAGCTAAAAGATATGCGAAGAATATCAAAATTATAACATATATTGATATTAGTGAGAACTGCTTGATAACTTATTTTGATAAAGATTTTTTTTCTCAAGCATTTTATAAAAATCTGTATAAATCTGTATTGTAATTTAAAAATCTGTGATAAATCTGTATTCTGTATCGGGTCTGTATTAAGATTAAAAAATCTGTATAATACAGATAAATCTGTATAAATGGCAGCGCTGAGGATAAGATATGAGCGGACGCGTACTGCCTAAAGCCCTACAGTAAAAGTATGGACGTCTGTCAAAAGTTGTTCCAATCGAACCGTCAAAATGCACCGCTTTGCTCGATTGGAACAGCTTTTTTCAGTTTTGTGGTGTCAGTCGTCCATACTTTTACTGTAGGGCTTTAGTACTGCCTGGTTTTGAGCCAAACGAACTGTCAAAGCCAGAGCCATACGAGCAGCACCTATCTTATAGCGAATTCGTTTATTATCGGGGTTCCAACCCGGTGCGAAACCGAACTTTTTGTCAGTGCGAACCTCAACCTGAGCTGGGTTTTAAAACAAACGATCAAACTGACGTTTGTCAGAAAACAAGCAGACCCAATCTTGATACCCGATCCAGGTTGGAACTGAATAATAAACGAATTCGCTATTAATTACATTGGCAGTGTTGCTGACCCTCTCATAGTCTGCATGCTTCAATCAGATTTATTTTTATTGTTCGTGAAGTAACCCACAATGAAAATACACCAATATTTAATGTAACAACAATTTTTATTGTAATAGAGTTGTTCATTATTGTTCATGATCGAATCATGTTAACAATAAAATAAATGAAAAATACGATAAAAATCATTGTAACAACATTTTATTATGTACATTCATTGTACAGCTAGGTAGCAGTTTTGCCGTTTTCGGAAGAGTACAACATTATAACAATCATTTTTATTGTCGACAATAAATATTAATGTTAGAGCATTGTTTCCACTGAAAATTTCACTGTAATTTTTTTTCGGGTAAGAGAAACGGGTTTTGAACTCGTCAACAACGATGTGGGTGACACTTTTTTTGTCAGATCTGGAGAGGAACGCGGTTTTGCTGTACTTCCTTAGGATGGCTTGCCCTTTCGATGACGCGTTCAATAAGAAGGTGGCAGTACAGGCTTCTCGAGACACTTGAGTCTCTTCAGAGGGCCGCGCGTTGTTGTCTCGGGTCACAGATGAATTGCAAGTAACGGGTTGTTCGCTGACTTTTGAAAGCCCCTGTAATGAAAGGGAATAACTAGTTAGTTGCACTAAACAAGAATGATTTGATGATAATTTACCTGTGCCTCCCTCCAAGAGTCCAATTCATGAATGAATCTGGTTCGCTCAGCAAGAAACGGCGAAGGAAGGAGTTCCTCAATTTCCTTCCTCTGTATGATTTTCAATGTTTCGATGGTGTAACAATTAAATGCAATAATAATGTTAGGATACCGTAACTGAATAAAAAACGATACTACCTACCGAGAAACGCTTCAATAACTCGTTCGGACATTCCATAATTATTCAATAAATGTATCAACTCGATTTCTTCAACCGACACCTTTTCTACATCCAGTTCTTCAATAATTATTGGATTATCGGAACCGAAACACATTTTGATACGCAAAACTTTACTGGCACGTGAACAAAATGGCGAAGGTTTCTAGCTTCTCCACACTGAACAAAAAATATAATTCAATCAACAATCATGGTACCTGAATTAATTTTATGTTGCCCTTGAAATAAACCATGCGTTTTGTTGAATCAACAATTTCCATGCTTTGGAAATTTGAGCAAGAGAACAAAAAATAATATTGTTATTTAAAAAAAAATTAAAGATGTTTGAACAAAAATACCCCATTGAAACAATAATAAGGCGATCGTTGAGCACAACAATATTATTTTTTGTTTTAAACCATCAAAAATTCTCTGCGTGAATGATTAACAATGTTTCCAAATAAGGAATTGTTTGAGAAATACGATGAAATCCAAGCTCTATTAATAAAAATGAGCTGCACAACAAAAAACAAAACTGGAATCATGTTAAACTCATATTTCAAACTGAGTTAAAAACGAGGTTAAAAAAATGTTTCATTGAAAAATCTGAATTATTGTAAATACTGTATTTCAATATAGCAAGACTTGTCTGTTGCTTTTGTTTTGATTTAGATTTTGACATTTTCGCGCACTGATGCGAATGGCAAAATAATTGGCGAGATAATAATTATAATAAAAATCTCGATTATCGTGCTAAGCGGTGATGGCAAGGGGAGGGGGGGAGGCGGTTATGATTTTGTAAGCAATGCATTAGGTATAGAGCTTTTTGACGTTTAATCGGCGCACACTACTGCACCATTTAAATCGAACGAGTGTGAGCAAGAGGGAAACAGATTAGTGGGAAAACAAACCGTCCATTTATCCATGTGTGCTAGATAGAGAAAGACGATTAAACGTCAAAAAGGTCTTATAGGAAAAAGTTTACGTAAGGAGGGGAGGGGGTTAATTTTCCTCAATTTAGCGTGACATAACGCTTAGATTCGGGTGCATCGAGGATTGCATAATGTGGCCCCTATATATTTTTTTTAATTTTAGTTTTTTTTAATATCTAAATTTGATTTCCATTAACTAAAATCATAAAATTTACATAGAATAATAAAGAATATAATAATTCCAGAGTTCAAATATTTATGGAATAACTAAAATTACTGTTTTCAATCTTTAAAATTACCAAATTATTTTCCAAGCAGTAGGAATTACTGAAATTACCTCGGAAATTACCCATGAATTACCAACAATTATTTTTATTACATTAACATGTCGTTACTGAGTAATTCAAAATTCACTAATTATTTTAATAATTTGTGGTAATTTTGGATTACCGATCACCTTACAAGCTTGGTAGAAACCCCTCGCAAAAATGCAACATGACTGAATCATTAATTTGACACATTAGACCACCTATATGTAGACACCTTGGTATAGACTAACACGGCTAGAAAAAAGTACCCAAAATTAAGTTCTTTTCACTCATCTCAGCGCTATAGAGGTTTTCACGTCTGGTTGTATTGGTAGGATATATGAGAGCGTGTTAGTGAATATCCGAGGAAAATACATAACAAATCGATGTCAAACTCATTTTGACAGATCTACTTTCATATATTTTTTAGGTTAGCCAAAGGATAATAATAATCAACTTTACACGGCGTTGCTGCCGCTAGTGTGCGTGCGTTAAACGTCATTAATCTCTATAGATATTAGTGACGTTCAACGCACGCACACTAGCGGAAGCAACGCCGTGTAAAGTTGTTTATTATTTTCCTCTGGCTAACCTAAAAAATGCATGAAAGTAGACCTGTCAAAATTAGTTTGACATCGATTTGTTATGTATTTTCTTCGGATAATCACTAACACACTCTCACATATCGCACCAATACAACCGGACGTGAAAATCTCAATAGTGCAGGAACTAAAAAGTAGGTAAAGCGGGTCAAAGTAATTTTTTTATTTACTTGTGTGCAGTTCGTATGGAAATTTCCACTAGCTTTTTAACCAAAAGTAAGTTAGTTGTACCCAACAGATTATACTCAACGTTGGGTTCCCACACTTTTCTAACCCTGTTGGGTGGTTTTGCTCCTCTGTTTTTGACAACATTAGAAGGAGAAAAGGAGACAAACTAGTCAAAAGTACTTTTGACTAGTTAGTGAACTTTCCATTGGGTACTTTTTTCTTACCGTGTAGTCAAAAGTAGGTAAAAGTGAACTGGTCGTTGGGGACTTTTTTCTTACCGTGCAGGTTGGCCGTGCACATCATCCCTGCTTGGTCGATGAGGCTGATGTTGTTTTCAAACACGTGCGATGTACGAAAATCGGTAGCAAAACAAAATCCAACTAGCGCGTAGTCGGGAATTTTTAACACAAAAAAGAGGTAGGAGAAAAGAAGAAGCACGTGAAACGATACAAGTCGAGATAATAACAAGAGCCGAATTTATTTTGAATTTCGTCGTTAATTTTGCTTTTCAAAACATTTAAACGGTTGTAAATCACCTATAGAAGCAACTTGAGCTGGGAAAAAGTGTATATATTAAGCTGTATATAAAATTCATAGAGAAAAATCCATAAAAGATAAGCTAGAAAAAAGTTAGGTTAAGTGCGAAGAGAAGAAAATGAGTACACAGACGAGAGTAAACACAAGGACCACTACCCGGTCCCAATCAACAAACCAGCAAACGACTACGACACACGGAAAACAACAGAAAGCAGGAACATCGGGAACGGGAAGCAAAGGCTACTTATCGGAGGTGGCCTTCCTGGAACCGATAGACATCGAGAAGGACGCACCAAACCATCCGGTCAGTGTTGGAAAAATTCTGGCGGGGCTGAAATTCGAGAACTACAAGGAAATTACCAAGCTCGGACGATTCCGGTACAAGGTGGAATTGAACAGAAAGGAGGATTACGCGAGTCTCTTGAAAATAAACCTTGCGGCGCACAACCTGAAGCTGTTCCAGCCAGTATCATTGAGGGAAACGGTATGTTTCATCCGAGGAGTGCCGAAAGAATACACTGAAGAGGAAATAAAGGAGAACATCTGGGCAGAAGCTCCGGTGCTTAAGGTTGAGCGTGTTTTGCGAAAGAGGGAGAGCCAACTAGTTCCCACCTGGAACCTAAAGGTGACAGTGAAGGGAAACAAGGTACCACCCTTGGTGAAGATATACAACTGCGCATTCAGAGCTGAAATGTACGTGTTCCCAATGAAGCAGTGCATGCGCTGTTGGAGGTTTGGTCACCCGGTCAAGCACTGCAAGGCAAAACCGAGATGTAAGAAGTGCTCCAAGTCGCATGAGCTGGAAGGTGAGTGCCAGATGACAACCAAATGTGCAAACTGTAACCAAGACCACCCGGCCGACGATCGGGATTGTGCGGAGCGAATAAGGAGAGTTAATGTGCTAAGGGAAATGCAAAGAACTGGAAAGCCCTACCATGAAGCTGAATCAAAATTCCCTAAGCTGTCAAACAGGTTCGAGCTGTTGGACGAGGATTCCGAATTTCCCGAAGTAGGCGGCGAAGAGAGCCAGCGGCCAGGGGGCGAAGGATGCAGTCAAAGAGGAAAAGCGGCATCTAAGGGAAGGGATACAAGAAGAACATACTCTCAAGCTACGCAAAGGAAGGACAAGAATACGAACGTGGAAACGGAACAGGATACTCAGAATCTGGGCGCGGTGAACTTGGTCAACGCAACGCTAATCGAAAGCATGCTGGCAAGTGTGCGACAGGAACTTATCAAGCAACTGAGGTTGCAGGTCTGGTTGAAACCCCTCATCGAACTCCGAGACCAACTAGCGAAACAGATGAACGCCCCAAGAAGCGAAATAGACACGGATCAAATCCTGATAAAAGTCTTCGAAAAGATAAACGACATTGTTACTGCCGAAACCAACAACAATCCAGAAGAGCAGAGAATAGCCGCAAACAACAACAATGGCCAGTAAACAACTACGAATTGTTCAACTTAACATTACTAGTATCCGACCAAGCGAGAAAAGAGAAGAATTGAAGAAGTTTATGGCAGGTAACCAAATACAAATAGCGTTGCTTCAAGAAATATGGATTAAGGAGGGAGAACCATTCGTAATGAGGGGATTTAAACTAGTGTCAAAATGCAGACCAGAGGGCCATGGCGGCGTAGGAATCCTAGGAGACCAAACGGTCACTCTAGCAAAAATAAAAACACCGGAGTTCAAATGGCTAGAAGTAGTAGCAGCGAAAATCACAGAAGGGTTCGATCCGGTTTCTCTTGTGTCAGTCTACGCGCCCCCGACGAACAACAAAGCGATGATCGACGAAATGGGGAAACTGTTCGAATGGATAGGACAGTTGGAAGGGGAAATAGTAGTTGGAGGGGATATGAACGCTCACCATCGTAGCTGGAGCCCAATCGCAGAAGAATGTAGGAGAGGAAAAGCGCTGAAACACTTGATCGACTCATCAAAGCTGATACTCCTCAACGACGGACAGCCGACAACCATTTCGAAGCCTGGAAACAGAGACTCAGCAATAGATCTGTCGCTAGCGACCGCTGGCATCACGAGGAAAACCACGTGGAGCGTAGAAGAGGAAGACTTCAATTCAGTGCATCTGCCGTTGGTGATAGAAATAAGTAGTGAAATGAAAGTAGTGCAACAGTGTGTTAAAAAGGTTAATCAGAGTAGGGTAATAGAAGCAATTAATTCGATAAGACCGCAGTTCGTATACAGTCCGGAAGATATGCAAGAGTTATTTGAAGAAGTGATAGAAAAGTCATCGTACATAGTGAAAAACAAGAAGCAAAACTATCTAAAAAAGTGGTGGACTAAAGAAATTGACAAACTTTACGCGGAAAAAAGAAATGCTTTGAAAAACTACAACCAGTGTAAAACCAGATCAAACTATATAGAATTGCAAAGAAGAAGAGCGGTGTTCAAACGAGAATTTCGCAAATCCAAGAGAGGTTACGTTAGGGAGCTTTCGGAAAACATAGATGAAAATACCCCGGCAAAACATGTCTGGAATATTGTGAAAGGGATAGATACATCACTAACAGGGGAGTATAGGAAGAAAACAACACTAACACATGAGGCAGGATTAGCGTTCATGGAGCACTACTTTGAGGATAAGGAGAAGAACGTTAGCTACCCTACAGTCGAAACCAAACCGGAGATGCAAGCATACGAAATGGCGCTTCGTGATGAGGAGATTCTGAACGTGTTGAGGGGAAGAAGAACAAATTCAGCAGCAGGAGAAGATGGAATGTCGTACGGCATCCTAAAAGGTTTGTCACCCGGAATGCAGTTGAAAATAAGCGAGATGCTGAGTCGAGTATTTGTGTCTGAGCGAATTCCGGAGAGATGGAGAGTTATCGAGGTGAGGCCGATACCTAAGCCGCATCTAGATCAGTCGCTAGCAAGCTCCAAAAGGCCAATATGCTTGATGAATGTGTGTCTAAAATTAATAAACTCGGCTGTAAAAGATAGGCTAGTGGAATTAACGGAAATAGAAAACCTGATTCCGTCGCGATCCTTCGGATTCAGGAAACATAACTCATCCTCAACAGCGATCAATTATGTAGTAAACACAGTACTGGAAGCAAAGCAAGAAGGAAAGGAATGCATCGTTGTTTTTCTGGACGTTTCGAAAGCATTCGACTCAGTTGACACCACTAAACTACTGCAAACCCTAGCAGGGATGTCTATCCCATCGAAACTGATCAGCTGGCTGTACACCTACCTAACGAAACGGGAATTGCTGCTAAAAACGGAAGAAGAAGGAATCAGAAGGAACGTCACCGAAGGCCTACCGCAAGGTTGTCCGCTCTCGCCTATCCTTTTCAACCTATACACGGCATCACTCCACGATGTAGAACGAGAAGGGTGTGAGCTGGTACAATTTGCCGACGACTTCGCCATCATTGTGATAGGAGAAACGCTGGAGGATGCGGCGGGCAAAGCAAACGGAGTCCTGTCGGATTTGCATGAAAAACTTCTCTCGAGGAATCTGAAGCTGAGCCCAGCGAAATGCGCGGCGGTACCGTTTTCCAGGAAGGATCCCAGTCGACTGAGGATAAAAATCAAAAATCAACCCATAGAGATAACAAACACCCACAAGTACCTTGGATACGTAATAGATCGTGAGCTCTGTCATCGAAAGCACATAGAGGAAATACGGAACAAAGCAGCCAAAAAAATTCCACTGATAAAACTACTAGCGGGAAGGAATAGCCACGCCAACCCGGAAACACTAGTAAAAGTTGGGAACGCTTTGGTGAGAAGCCGTTTAGAATACGGAGCAAGCATTTATGGCAGCGCCGCGAAAACCAATCTGAAGAAGATCCAAACCGTTCAAAATTCGTACATACGAATTGCGATGAGATACCTTCCTTCAACGCCGGTGCACGTCATGATCTCAGAAACTGGACAGATTCCCATGGACCTACGGATAGAGCACCTAGCAAAAAGGGAAATCCTGAGGAGCACATACCATCAAAACCCACTCTCAAAGTTTATCCAACGAACCGTTGATAATGAAAAACCAAACGGATCATACATAACGCTTGTGACAGACAAACACGTCGATGTGATTATGCAACTTCACCCAAAAAATGAGGAAATCAGCAAATTAACCCGCCTACAATACTTCCCGAAAGTTGATATGTCGTATCACGTTCGGAGCACGCTAACAAAGGACCAACAGAAGAAAACTAATTTACCAGCACAGCAGTGGCAGAAACTATACATGGAAACTATCAGCACAAGATACCAAGGATACAACAGGATCTTTACCGACGCGAGTAAGACTAGTTCAGGAACGGCGATAGCAATGTTCGACGAAACATCCAAGACCAGCAAAGCGGATAAAATAAATGACAATTTTTCAATAACCAATGCGGAGCTGCTAGCCCTGCAAAAGGCAGTGGAGTGGGCCATAGAAAACAATATAAAGCAAGCGGTTATCTTGACTGACTCAGCGAGTGCATGCGCCATCCTGAGGAACAGGAAGGAAGTCCCAGACAACTACATAGCCAGCAATATAGTTGAACTATTTCAAAAAGTTGAATGCCGAAACTTGAAAATCCAATGGATCCCGAGCCACTCAGGAATCCAGGGCAACGAAATAGTAGACGGAAAAGCAGTTAGGAGAACAGAAGGGACCCAAAGCATACACAACTCAATCACCTTCGGAGATGCGATAGTTCTAGCAAAAAAAGAATCGTGGGAGGAATGGAGAAGAGTCTTCGAAGCTACGAGTCAAGATAAAGGTAAATGGTACAGATCAGTACAAGCACAACCACGCAGGAATATTTGGTTCAAAAACTTGATACTATCAACGGAAGAAAAAAGAATCATGAGCAGGATAAGAGCAGGGCACACCCTAACGAAAGAAAGAAAAGCGATGTTCAAAATGGAACCAAATGACCGATGCACCGAATGCGATGAGACGGAAAACCTAGAGCACATATTGTACATTTGCCCGAAATTCAACCGTATCAGAAGCAAATTCCCAGCACTGGAATACTGCATGCCGCTCGTCGGGATACTGCAAGATGAATGTGAGACAACGATGAAGCAGATCACCCGCTTCATTCAGGAAATAAAATTACATCTATGAATCAAAACCAAGAACACCTGGCAAGATGGACCAACCATGGTCTTAGCCGTCATCAGACAACAGCAAACAAAAAAAAAAAAAAAAAAAAAAAGGTAGATTTTTAAAGTTTCTCTTGAAAAAGGGCAGTTTATTCGAGATTTTAGGTATTTCCAGTATCGTTAGTATGTCAAAATCCTTGGTGAAGAAAGCTTTAGCCTTAGTGGAAGAAGGCCTGTCTGATTCTTTAAAGAAAAAGGAAACATCTAAAGGTAGGGGGAACCCCCGGCACGGAAGTCCGTATTTCAGAATATAAATAAACGAATCTCGTTTTCGTTTTTGCGGTGTAGCTACACCGGTGCTACACTGCCGAACACCGAAAAAATTTAGGGTGTAGCTATCGGTTGCACCTTTGTTTACAAACAAATGATGATGAACTGTCAATGACTCGCACTTATTGCTGCTTACACTACACCGGTGTAGTGTAGTAAAAACGAAAACGACATTAATTTGTTCATTCCTTTCAGACAACAAGCGCAAATCGGAGGAATCCGATATCATGCCACGGCATCACAAAATGGTGCGATATGTGGGCAAGAAGGGCCGCAAGGAGGCCAAAGATGTGCTGCGACGGGCGGACGCTCTGACAGTCATGGAAGTACGCAAACGGATACAAAATCGTAAGGATAACACCGAGGACAACGTGCGAAAGCTGCTTCTGCTGAGTTCGGCCGATATAGGAGAGGAAGCTGGCGCCAAGGTAAGTTCGTCACATGAGAGGTGGACAACGCAAAAAGTTAGATCTGTATTTTTCTTTCTAGTTGGTCAAACGAGCTCAGACCGGTCGGTACGTTGTCAAAGCGGACGAATTCCGTGACAAAAAGGACACCAGCAAAAGTGTGTTCGATGAGGAGGATTTCGAGAAGTTTGAGCAGGAATTGTTTTGCAGTGTGTTGAATCAATAAAGTACGTCTTTCTAAGGTAAACCAAATGACATTAGTTGTAAGCAGAATATCACCGTTCAAATCAATGGAGGGATTTCGTCTTCGTTAATCTCTGCCTGCGGATTATTTTTGCTGTTATTGACGATGTTCTTATAATCAACGGTTCCCTTAAGTTCTTGTTTTCCTCTGTTGTTTGGTTGAATGGGTTCATTCTTCATCCAAGCTGGAAAAAAACGTTGTTATGTAGTTGCTCGATAAGCTCATATCATTTGACTCAACTAACCCGGCTTTTTCGGTAGATCGAACCCAACGTTCTGCGGATTTAATTTAGGCATCACGATCAACATGTGCCCCGTAGTCGTGGAACGCTTGCAGAAAGACGTAACCGTTTTAATTTCGTCTTTTAGGGCCAGTTGAAAAATGCGCCCTTTGATCGTTGCCCTGATGTAGTTTGGTTGGGCGTCTACTTCGATGTATGATGTGTCCAGATACCTAAGAATGCACAGAAGGATTAATTTCAGTTTTTTTCCTAATGCCAATTCAAATATAGAACACACTTGTAAACATGCAAATTCAACTCGTATCGGTCGTCTTCGTCGCGAAAATCAAACCTTATCTTCGGTTCATTCAAACTGTAAGGTCGTCCACACTTGGCGAAGAGTATCGGTTTCTTCCTCTCCCCATTCTCCAAATCCCCCAAGGTCACGCTGGGTTTCCCCTTCGCTTTCTGGGAGTGCTTGGCCATCTGAATCCGCGTCTCCGGGCAGTGCTCACTTTTTTGCTGCCAAAATTGAGCGGAACGTTCATCATCGTCCAAGTCCCTAACGTTGTCCTCCTGCGCCCGAAGCGATTGAGCCACCCGAATTTTCTGTTCATCCCGTTCGATTCTATGGACGTGCTCGAGTTGGATGATCCTGTCGCGATTCGCTTTGAAGTTCTTCGTCGCCTTTAGTAGATCCGTTCGGGTTATTTCCAATCCATCGAGCGTCTCCAGCTGCGGCAGAGCGCACATAACGTAATCTCTATAGCCGGGATAATCGGTGCAGGGATTTCCGGTCAGATAGAGATCCCTTAGGTTGTAGTTGTCTCTCAGGGATTCGACCGAAGTCAGTTCTCCTATGAAATTCAACGTCAAATCTAGCTTGTTCAGTGATTCCAAACCCTGCAGGTTTTCGATTCGCTCGATGTTGTTCAGTGCCAAGTTGAGATATTCTAGTTTCTTAAGTTTGTGTAGATTTTCGATTTTTGAAACCAGGTTCGATTGCATAAGGAGGATCTTGAGGTCCCGACACCAGTTGCCGATGTGTTCGATTCGGTCGATGTCCTCCTGATGCAAGGACAGTTCTTCCAAGGTGCTGATGATGAGTTCATTGTGCTCGGAACGTTTCCGAATCAGTTGCTCCGTTACTGAGGGGACATAACAGAATTTTATATAGGTAATTGAATGAGATCATACGAAAATTATCAGTTGACTTACTTCGAACCATGTTTGGTGAAATACTTGCTGCATGTATGTCAGGATCAATAGCAAACGGACGATTCTGAAATAAACAATGTGATGGTTGCTAGGCGCACTTGAAAGGATGAAGCGTTGAATTATCTGCAGGAAGAATCATGCGCATTGTGCATTTCAACAAATTATAATGTGCAAACATACTTGAACTTTTTCTAGCACAGATAAACTTGACCATATTGGAATTTCTAGGCGTCCTAATGCCCGGTGTACTAATAAATTACTTTCTCGTAGACCGATGTGTACCAAAAGGCTATAATATCGTTTGAAAAACACATGCTACCTAAAACCATACATCGTAGCATGCCTCTACATGTTGGAGACTAAATTTAGGTACCAACCAAATTTATTTATTTTTATTTATTTATTTTTATTTATTTCGTCAACCAACGTAGACTAGTACAATTAATACAGTTTTGTTTTCTTAAATATATATTTATATAAAAAAGTAGTGTCAGCTTTCTTGTCTTTTCTTTTATGAGTTGTTATTTCTTATGGAATAAAAATATTGCTTTAGTTTATGCCGAGACATTGCAAAGTCAATGGTTTCGCAGTGTTTATTGTAAGAGGCCATCATGCGGTTTAATGGCCCATATTTTGCATAATTTGTGCGATGATGTTTTATGGCAAATAAATTTCGATTTCGGAGTTGCCGAGTGGGTGCATGGAAGTTTAATTTTGATAAAAGTTCTGTTGAGTCAATTCGCTGCGAAACGATATCATTTACAAATGCATATTCACGACGCTCTTTTAATGTTTGTATGTTTATAAGCATGCAGCGTGCTTCATATGATGGAAGAGGAAATGAAGTCCAACCTAATTTACGAAGAGCGTATAATAGAAATTGTTTTTGTACTTTTTTTTTTTTTTTTTTTAACTCTTTATTTGTTCCAAATTCAAAATAAATTACATTTCATTTTTAACCTAGGTGCTCCAGTTACTACAGTAACTTACCAGCCTTAATTGTTATGATATGTATCTAAGTGTTTTTACATTGTTCCTGTCTTGGCAATTCAGTATTTTAAACAGGTTTTTTAAACCTGCATGTCAGTATAACAATTGATAGCTTAAAACTAAATAACTAAAACTAAATCTTATCTAAGTATAAAGGGAATTAATCGTTGCAATTGAGGATTGTAACGATTTTTGCCGGAAATTATTAATTATTTTGTTGGACATTTGTGCTAAAGTCTCAACATTCGAAATTCTATGTACTTCGGTAGTACTGTACCAGGGAGGCAACTTCAAAATCATCTTCAGAATTTTGTTCTGAATCCTTTGAAGTGCTTTTTTCCTGGTAGTGCAACAACTAGACCATATTGGCACAGCGTAAAGCATGGCCGGTCTAAAAACTTGTTTAAATATTAGAAGTTTATTCGTCAGGCAAAGTTTGGATTTCCTGTTTATAAGAGGATACAAACATTTTATATATTTGTTACATTTGGCTTGAATGCCCTCAATGTGATCTTTAAAAGTTAATTTTTGGTCAAGAACTAATCCAAGATATTTCACTTGGTTTGACCAGAAAATTGGAACTCCGTTCATAGTGACTATGTGACTACTACTAGGTTTCAAAAAGGAAGCCCTAGGCTTATGTGGAAATATTATAAGTTGAGTTTTGGAAGCGTTGGGAGAAATCTTCCATTTTTGTAAATAAGAAGAGAAAATATCTAAACTTTTCTGAAGTCTGCTGCAAATAACACGAAGACTTCTTCCTTTAGCGGAAATGCCTGTGTCATCAGCGAACAAAGATTTGTGGCAACCCTGAGGCAAATCAGGGAGGTCCGAAGTGAAAATGTTATACAATATAGGCCCAAGAATGCTACCCTGAGGAACTCCTGCTTTAACAGGTAGTCGATTAGATTTCGAATTTTGATAATTTACCTGCAGAGTTCTGTTAGTTAAATAATTTTGAACTAATTTCATAATGTAAAGTGGAAAATTAAACTTTTTCAATTTAGCAATCAAACCTTCATGCCAAACACTGTCGAATGCTTTTTCTATGTCTAGAAGAGCAACTCCAGTTGAGTGGCCTTCAGATTTGTTTGAACGAATTAAATTGGTAACTCTCAAGAGTTGATGAGTAGTTGAATGCCCATGGCGAAATCCAAACTGCTCATCTGCAAAAATTGAGTTCGTATTGATGTGAAGCATCATTCTATTCAAAATTATTTTTTCAAAAAGTTTACTTATTGAAGAAAGCAAACTTATTGGACGGTAGCTAGAAGCTTCAGCTGGATTTTTATCCGGCTTCAAAATTGGAACAACTTTTGCATTTTTCCATTTATCAGGAAAGTATGCCAAATGGAAACATCTATTAAATAATTTTACCAAGAAAGACAAGGTACTCTCTGGGAGTTTTTTGATGAGGATATAGAAAATTCCATCATCACCTGGAGCTTTCATATTTTGAAATTTTTTAGTTATAGACCTTACTTCGTCCAAATCAGTCCCCCAGGAATTATCAAAAATATTTTCCCGAGAGAAAATATTCAGAAAATCCCCAGCAACCCGATTCTCAATAGGACTAGTAAGACCCAAACTGAAATTATGGGAACTCTCGAATTGCTTAGCAAGTTTCTGAGCTTTTTCCAAATTTGTGATCAAAATTTTACCACCTTCTTTAAGCGCTGGAATTGGCTTTTGAGGTTTTTTCAAAATTTTTGTGAGTTTCCAGAAGGGTTTGGAACTCGGGTCTAATTTAGAAACATTATTTTCAAAAGTTTTGTTCCTCAGGGCAGAGAATCGCTTTTTAATTTGTTTTTGCAAATCCCGCCAGATAACTTTCATGGCAGGATCGCGTGTTCTTTGAAATTGTCTCCTACGGACATTTTTAAGACGGATCAAGAGCTGAAGATCATCGTCTATTATAATTGAATCGAATTTAACCTCGCATTTTGGTACTGAGGCAGCTCTTGCTTCAACTATAGAAGTAGTCAGAGATTCAAGAGCATAATTAATTTCATCTTTGGTTTGCAAAGGAATGTTTGGATCGAAGTTATATTCCATAAATGTTCGATATTGCTCCCAATCAGCCCTATGGTAATTGAAAGTAAAGCTGTTGGGATTAGAAATTATTTCTTGGGATATTTCAAAAGTTACTGGAAGGTGATCAGAACCGAAGTCAGCATGGGTAACCAATTGGCTACAAAGATGACATGAATCAGTTAAGACCAAATCAATAGTTGAGGGATTTCTTGCAGAAGAAAAGCATGTTGGGCTGTTTGGATATTGAATAGTGTAATAACCTGCAGAACAATCATCAAACAGAATATTACCATTGGAATTGCTTTGAGCATTATTCCATGAGCGGTGTTTTGCATTAAAATCACCAATAATGAAGAATTTAGACCTATGACGGGTAAGTTTCTGGAGGTCACCCTTGAGAAAATTCTTTTGCTGGCCTACGCATTGGAATGGCAAATAGGCAGCTATAAACGTAAGTTGTCCAAATTTTGTTTCAACAGAAACTCCCAAAGTTTCAAAAACTTTGGTTTCAAATGAAGAAAGAATTTTATGCTTGATTCGTCTATGAATAATGATGGCAACGCCACCACAGGGTCCATCAAGACGATCATTTCTATAAATCAAGTAATTTGCGTCCTTCTTAACCTTATGGTCAGGTTTAAGGAAAGTTTCAGTTATAACGGCAATATGCACGTTATGAACTCTCAAAAAATTAAATAGCTCGTCTTCATTATCTTTAAGAGATCGAGCATTCCAATTTAAAATGTTTAATGCTTTAAAATCCATTACTGAATTTTAAAGTCATGACAATATTATTAGCAAATTTTACTCCAGTTTGAATAGCATCAAACATGGAGTTAGATTTAAGCATATCAGAAATCATGTCAATTAATGAATTCTGTAAAAATTCCATTTTAGGAGCAGTAATGCTTCCTAAGTCAAAATTGTCAAAATTTCCGTTAGAACGTTGATTAGTATTTTGATTTCTACCCGCTGCAATAGCAGCATAGGTAGCTCCATTAACTCGCTGAACATTGTTAGCAGCGAGGGGAGTAGGTACAGATGAAACATTTGAAGCAGGGGTGATATTTGTACCTACGGGTACGAATGTAGAATTTGTTCCTCGCTGACCGTTGTTAACAGCAGAGGAATTTGTACCTGGTCGGAAACGTGGAGCGTTTCCTACCTGTCGGTTAGAACGAGATTGTAGGATCGCTTTGCGAGTCTTACATTCCCAAAAATTGGATTTGTGGTTTTCACCACAATTTGAACATTTAAATTTCTTAGGATTTTCCTTCACAGGACAGTCGTCCTTTGCGTGAGAGGAATCACCACAATTCATGCATTTAGCTGGCATGTAGCAATTTTTAGTTCCGTGACCCCATCCCTGGCACTTACGGCACTGAGTGAGGTTTTGAAAATTTCCTCCAGTCTTCCTGAAGTGTTCCCACTTCACTCGGACATGGAGCATAAGGCTAGCTTTTTCTAAGGCCTTAAGGTTGTTTAGTTCACTAGACTTGAAGTGAACTAAATAAAAATCATTAGAAATCCCGTTGCGCGAATCGCCAGGACGGGATTTCATTTTCATTTTGATTACTTGGAGTGGCACAACTCCAAGTAATTTTGCCAGTTCATCTTTGATCTGATCCAGGGATTCACCACTGGGCAGTCCTTTCATGACAACCTTGAACACACGTTCAGTTTTGGTGTCGTAAGTAAAAAATTTGTGCTTCTTCTCAGTAAGATACTTGAGAAGACATTTAAATCCGTCCAAGGTTTCAGCCAATACACGGCATTCACCCCGACGTCCAATTTGTAGTGAAAACTTAACTTTCACGAAATTCAAAAGTTCCATGCGAAGAGCATGGAAATCGGTAGTGGTTATCACAATAGGGGGAATCTTTTCCTTCTTGGCATTAAGCCGGGAAAGTTTACTAGAATTTTTCTTGGATGATGGATCATTCTCATCATCCGTGAGCAAATCAAATTGATTACTCAAATTAATTTCATCAGAAGGGGGGTCAAGAGTTTGCCCCTTTCTTTTGCGT